CTTTGGCGTTCTGTTTTGCTGTTTTTTTTACTGTTTTCTTTTCAATGTTTGTCTTTTTTTGGTTCCCCTGCTTGCAGCGCTTGCAGCAGCGCAGAGTTCTCACACTTGTACCAGTGAGGCCAAGAGCATTGACAAGTGCATGTAAAAATCATGAGTAGAACATGTGGCAACGCTTTTTCTTTATGGCAATAATCCAGTAGCCCCCTTGTATATAGATGCAATGTATGCTCAGTAGTAGTTCTTAGTTGCCCTATGCAGTGGCCCTACTACCAGGAATACCCAACACCAGCCGTCCACATAAAGCAAAAACTCTGCCTGGCATCCCCTGTGGTGTTGACTCATCCTCAAAATCTAGAATGGCAAAAGAATGGCACACTGTTTGACAACCAAAACAACCAAAGTTTTGAAATGGCAAAAAAATTGCAAATCTCTGTAAACCACCAAATTGCAGGAATAGCAAAAATGGCAAAAACTCGAGGATTTGCATTTTTTTGCAATTTTTTGCCATTCCAATTTGCCATCCCCCATGCCATTCCCAAAGGGAACCCCAATTCCACTAAGCCTTGTTTTGGCCATCACTCCTTTTGTCTAATCTAATCCTTCTAACCAATGCAGGTCCTGTTGTTTCGGTTGTCTGGGATGACCGGTTGCGGCAGCCTGTCCCAATGTCTCCGAAATGAGAGTTGCCTTCCCAGATGTTCTTTACACTGGAGAGCAAGTCAGAGCAAGGATAAAGAACAAACCACATGGATGCAAACGCGCTTTAAGGCAACCAGCAACAAACACAAAGGACGTACTGTTGAAATCACCCACCAAAGCCACAACTCAATAACAATACAACACTTTTCCTCAGCAAAGGCATCAGACAGCAAAATCCACAATACCAAAAAAACGCCCAAAAAATGCAAATGCAAAATGCTAAAAACATAGCAACAAAATAACGTTAGCAAAAAACAGCAAATGCAAACAGCAAAAAAACAACAAAATAACAGCAAACAATTACATTCATTGATTTCCAATCTCTGGCTGGCAAAAAATCTTATAAGCATATACATATATATATATACGGTATATATATATATATACAGTAACCCCCATGGGTGTATCCTCTTTAGAATCAGGGGAGCCGGGTCCAGAAATCAGGGGGTTCTACAGAGAAAATAAGTCTTTCTATAGAATCAAAAAATATACTATAGATTTTAAAATGATCGGCAAGACTGACTTTTTAGCATCGGCCAGACCTGTGTTCAGGGCTTTTTTAGGAAAAACTTTGCAACCTGGGATCAGATTTTATAGAACAACCGTTTTGTTAGTTTTGTCAAAGCAACCTGGCAACTGAACCTATAGAAAAAGCCTTGCCTGAAAATAACTGGAATAGGTCATTTTTTCAATGGACTCATTTTGTAGAATGTATACTGGCTATCAAACACAGGAAGCAGAACTCTATAGAAAGCAGCGGTGGTTTGTGGAGTTGAAAACTAGATTCTGGGGTGGCGGCTGAATGTTGAATACAGTAAATTTGTTTGCTCTGATGTCAGGCCCTGATGAAGGCGCAAGAAAACAATAGAAAACTATGTGAGACCAATTTAAAACAAAACATACAAACAACAAATGTCAGAAATAGAATCAAATCCGGAAGCTCCGGAAAAACCAAGAAAACAAACGCAACATTGATAGTTATTTTGTTTGGATGAATATTGATGATGCCATTGAATTTCAGATTGCATCGGAAAAAACTGCTCAGGTGGCACAGGTTCCTTCTCAAGAGCCCATTTGTTCAATCATTGTTTCTATAAAATCAGTGCTGTCGAGGTAGCACGGGTTCCACTTTCTTTTCTGTCTGATTCTGTGTTCCCCTGTTTGAGATTGGATTTTATAGCGCAATCAAGTCTAAAAAATTGGAACAGTGTCCAGGGGGCACCTGTGCCACCAAATTTTATAGAATGGCCACTTATCCAGGCATGTTGTTTTAAGGATTCTATAGTTTGTAAACAAACCACTCCAGCCTAGTTCTTGCTATAAATTCTGGCCTCGAGCTCCTACCAAATTCACACCTGGATTAAAAAAAAATATATATGTATATATACATATACTGTATATTGCTGTATATATATATATATTTACACTTCCTATCTATATTTGTATATAATCCACTTGCATGTTCCAGTGTCGTTTCATGATGGTTGTGGTTTGACCATTGGCCACCTTGAACATGTGTCTTGAACCCCTATTTCACCACAGCAACCACATGTGTTTAGGATTCCTCGCTGCAGCCTGATTCATGATTTCTCGCCGCGGCCTGAGTCAAGATTTCTCGCCGCGGCCTGATTCATGATCTCTCGCAGCTGCCTGCTTTAGATTATCAAATTTCTGGAGCAGGTTGCGGCGAGGAATCTTAAATCAGGCTGCGGCGAGAGATCATGAATCAGGCTGCAGCGAGGAATGCTGGATCAGGCTGCGGCGAGGAATCCTAGACAGAATTTATTGCTGTGGTTGAATAGGGGTTGAAGACGAGACACATGTTCAAGTTAGCCAATGATTTTGTATGTATAGATGTTTGGCATTTTCTTTATGTCGGTGGTCCAAAAATTGTGTTTGGACTGGTGTACGCGTTCAAGCACCTTGCTGGAAGGAGTGAACAGGCTTGAACACAAAGTGTTTTTGTTCCCTAGATAGTGAAGCTATAGGGGTTCTTACTTCTCAATGGATGGGTTCCTGATTGCGGAAATTGGCTGCCGCTGCCGCTGCCGCCTTCGCTGCCGCCTTGTCTGTGAAGCTTGTCTCCGTTCATGATTTCGCTTTTGGCTGCCGCTGCCGCCTTGTCTCCCAAGCTTGTCTCCCTTCGTGACTTCGCTTTTGGCTGCCGCTGCTGCCTTGTCTGTGAAGCTTGTCTCCCTTCATGATTTCGCTCTTGGCTGCCTCTGCCGCGTTGTCTCCCAAGCTTGTCTCCCTTCATGATTTCGCTCTTGGCTGCCGCTGCTGCCGTCTTGTCTCCCAAGCTTGTCTCCCTTCATTATTTCGCTTTGGCTGCCGCTGCCGCCCTGTCTCCCAAGCTTGTCTCCCTTCATGATTTCGCTCTCCCTTCATGATTTCGCCTTTGGCTGCCGCTGCCGCCTTGTCTCCCAAGCTTGTCTCCCTTCATG